GCAGCAGATCCTATCGGAGTGATGAGCTTGGATGCAGACCGTCTTCTTAATGATTGGATCAGGAATATGATCACGGCAATCCATGTTGCTGAAGCTGTTTCCCATGAAAGAATGAAGTTGCAGCTTACCGTGTTCTGACGAACCTTGCTACCCTCCGTAAAATTATCCCATCTACCGAGCGATTATCGGGGGGGTATCGATTGCAGCAGCATACAAGCAATTGCGTGTAGGCACAAGGAAGAGTTGGGTGACAGGTGTGGACCAAATGAAGGAAACTGTTCGGTAGGAAAATGATAAGTTCCCGAGCCAAAGATGCTACTAGTACCGTAAACCCCAACACTCGCAGGATTCATCTTTGTGCGAACCAACTTGCTTCAAAAATGCGCTAAAATATGTGTAAACTTAGGAACATGGTGCTTCGACATGCTCCAACTTAATTTACCATGCTGAACGACAAACAAGTTAGTAGTCACCGTTATCTGCCAACGCTGTGGTGCCAGACGTCCGTAATTGAGATGAAAAAGACACGGCAGCGGGAAGAACTTTGATAATTTCATTTTGCACTGTGGTTTGCACTTGCACTGATCAAACGGAATGTTGGGGCACAATATATACATGGTCACATAAAATTTCAAAATTATTTCGTTCCAAGCAATAATGCAACGGATACAAAATGAGGTTTTCCAACTTTGTTCGGTTTTTCAATAATGAATTTGTATCGTTGAAAAGATCGCGTCATGAGCATTCCATTAGTGTCGGTAGGAGTGATTTATGCATGGCACATCTTTCCGGAGTGGTGACCGAATGTGTTCTTGAGAACAGCTCATCTTCCTGTCCATGAACTTTGTTCTACTGCTGAAAATCTGGCTGTTCTTTACCAAAGGATGTTCAACGAGGCAGTAATTCCGCAGTCATGGAAGGAAGGGATGATTACTCCCATTGTAAATGGGGGATCTCGCAGTGATCCAGCCAACTACCGCCCTGTTACACTTCTTCCGATATGGTCGAAAGTCATGGAGGCTATTATGGCAGATCTGTTGATGGAATATCCGTAGAAGCATGAGCTTTTGTCTCCAACTCAGCACGGATTTCGGCACAAGCGTTC